GTGTCTCTCTCTGCAGGCAATCGCGAAACGTCCGAAGAGAAAGGAAGAAAGGCGTTCGAGGGCGATGAAATTCTCGAAAGAAAAGGGAATCTGTTCGCTTTCTAGCCAGTACGCGTATTCATCGGGTCGTAGCCGCGAAATGCACTTAATACGCAAACAGCCTACCCATCGACCCACCTACCTACGTAGGTAGAACCGTACATATAAAAGGGAGACTGGCGTGATATCACGGCATCGGGATGCAGATGTTTAAGCCCACGAGAGCATAAATCGGTAGGAGGAAGACATGTTTGTACCCGCGCTTAAACTATACTATTTGAACGCTGTTATTAACCCTCAAATGATCGACCACCAGACATCATCACGGGTGGCTGATACGAGGTCATCTTTATCACTCGAGCAACGATCTCTGGTAACACTAAATAGATTTATTCTTAAACTGCTAAGAAAAATTAGACTCTCGTTATATTGCCGCGGTGAGAGTACAAATATTTTAAGCTTCCAAGCTTTAATTAATTAATCATTTCCAATTTTTACATTTACCATTACCTTGGAAATCGTACGCTACTCTCCAAAATCACAGCTAATATTAATATTACACTAGTCTCTCGTTATATTGCCGCGGTGAGGGTAAAACTTTTTTAAGCTTCCAAGCTTTAATTAATTAATCATTTCCAATTTTTACATTTACCATTACCTTGGAAATCGTACGCTACTCTCCAAAATCACAGCTAATATTAATATTACACTAGTCTCTCGTTATATTGCCGCGGTGAGGGTAAAACTTTTTTAAGCTTCTAAATTTCTGAATTGCTAAATAAATTGTTTCTTCACGTGTTCCTTACGCGAGGTTGATGCTTCGCGATACCTACAGATGACGAGCAAGACTGTAATAGCGATTTTTCCTTTAAGTGCACGCATAACAGACAAGCAGACATAAGCATACGCAGATGATCGTAAGATTGCAAATTCAAAAAGGACAACCTTCCGACCCACGCTACTGCGTAGTTTTCCATTGCTAATCAACTGACGCCGTATCAGAGGTTCTGTAACCCCATTGTGTACCACAAAGGGTACACTCGTCGCTAAATTCAGTATAATAGAATCTCTTCTACGAAAATCTTTCGATGCACGTTTGATCTTTTAAATCCTCCCCAAGATTCATAATCTTCAACTCATAAATCTAATAATTTTGTGAATTTATTTTTTTCCTCACTCTTCTATTCCTTGCGTCTCGAAATCGCGAACGGCATTTCCGTTTCACACACTGTCCGCTTGTCTGTAAGGATCCAATTTGATGGAGTGAGGTATGAGTAATAGATTATAATATCATTTTGAACGCATATCGTCATGAATAATTAATACGAATTGCGTCGTGAACGACGTGCATCGTCGCAGAACCTCCCATCGAACAACGTTCACATTCCATGTATTTATTATTCGTGTTTCATTATAGTGAACTAGAAAATCTTACTATCAGTTAGTTAATTAGTTTTAAGAAAAAGACAAGATAAAGCAAACTTCTTGTAAGAAAATGCTAACAAGGAATGTTAACTATGAGAGCTCCCAATTGGCACCTTCTCGAGGTACTTCAATGTTGATGTACGAAGAAAAAGAAGAAGGGTAATTAACCGTAGCCACGAATGCAATTAGGAAAGAATATGAGAAAGGATGGGAGAGGTCTTCGAATGAAGAATAATAGCCGGATGTAGTTCTTGGATTTAGTGTTATTGGCGATAAATTAGAGATTAACTTTCAAAGCAACCGAACGAAATTGAAAGCTTCATGGATTCGATGCACGCGAACGAATTCAAGTCAAACCCATTAAATTTACAAGTATACCTTAAATTTCCTTCGTTTTAGTTTCATTCGTTTAAATTTCGTCTTATTTCCGTTTGCTCGAAATGTCTCGTTAAGTTCCAGTCGATCAACCACGGAATTTTCTTATTAATTTCTGGTTTATTTTCGGAATACTCGCGTTTCTTATGGCGCTTACTGTAAGTTGTAAACGGGTTATATGACTCATTTATACGTCATTAAATATAGAATTATTTTACTATAGAGGATTTACTATCCCATGCAATTAAGGATTTAACCCAATTTACAGGTTCCTGTCTAACTCACTCATCCTTAGTATATTCGGTACCACTTGAATAAATTTACTCTCAACAAATAATTTGGTATAAATAATTTTGACAAGCGATGATTCGCTTAAACGAGCGATTTCAAGTTTCGTTCGATCCGTCCGGTGACTACCTTAACTTGTTCAGTGAACGTTGAATAGTTTGTTAGCGATAATTACTTCGTCACGTCCTATCAGACTCGTTTAGCAGCAGAGAAAGTGGTTGCAAACTACACGAGATAATATGATTCGTTCGATGTTCAATGGAAGATAGAGGCACAAGTAGTTGTCCGATATAAATCAATATCTCCCAACACGGTACAAAGATGAATTGAACGATGCTATTACAGGTAAGGCTCAATATGCTTTTAACCATGTTTTCGAAACATGTGTAATCTGTAATAGGATTGGATCGAAGAATAGATAGTTCATAGGAGTTTGATCGTTCTACTACTTCACAGACAATATTTCTTCACATTTGGGAAAGCCATCTTAATTAACACGCTAAGCGACGCTAGCGCTGTCGAACAGCTCACAGCGCCCTCTAAGTGGCGCTAACTACCCGGGCGCGACTAGGCAGGGAATGGTAGGGACTCTGAAGTCAGCTCTTCCGCCTATTTTGTTTTACATGACTGCAAAATGCCAATGGACTAATCGTAAGGTTCAGCGCTCTTCCATGCCAATCGTACTGTACCGTCAGTCTATTCAATATTGATCTTCAAATTTGATTTTATCGAAAAGGAAGCTGCGAATGAAAAACATGTTAGTTTCTTTTCGACTTATTTCTGCATATAGAAATCCGGTTATATCATTCTAGATTTCTACAACAATTTTATTAGAAATAAACTAGCACTTCGTTCGCACGAAGATATTGAACCAGAAGAATGGTAAAAAAAAGAAAAGAATGATCCTACCAGCTGCAGTAAAGAAGATATTAAAAGCAATAGTTGATTTTGCAAAGCCCATTGGTTCGGTATCAACGGAGATTAATACACCGAAGCTGGCTTTCATCGTTGGATGTCCATCTGAATCAACTGGCAGCCGATGCTTCGGTGTCGACGTAGAAAGATTGTGTTTAGACAGCATGGGAACGTTGCTGAACTATCGTTGATCGGTGCCCTCGAGCATAACATCCTCCCTCCGGCGTTTTCTGCTTCACGTTCGAATGGTTCCAATGTTCAATCAATCGCCTGTATTCGCGTAATTGATACCCATCCGTGGTGTAACAAACGACGCTGGCCACGATGTTCGAAGGCACCCCCATGACTAAGCCGCGCTCGTGAGTCGTTCTTCGAACCTCGAAACGGATACTCGGCGTTGACTCGAGTTCAAATTTATTATGAATTAATACCCCGGCGTGGACGATAAAATTTCATTTAACCACGCTCGGTCCTTCGTAAGATCAAGTCATTAAAATCGACGTGTATTAACATCGTTTAAGTAGCATGTAAATCGATGCGTTTCCTTTCTTAAGCTTCGCGCTATTCACTTTTTTTTTGCCGATACAAATCTTCTTTCTCCCACTCTCATCATCGTCTCACTTGACCCTCGCGTTTTATGTTCATTCTCGATTTTTCCTCTTTCGCTGTCTGCCAATCGAGTCTAATGATCTCGAAGCATAAAACGACTCGACCGTGAAACGGTAGACTCCTCCGTGGTAGGAGGACGCGAACGGTCTTAGTCATCGATAATTTAGCCTTGGCATTAGGTTGAACGGCAACAATGATAACGATGACATTGTGCTCACTCAGTGTCTACAATAGAGAAATACACGTGTAGCGAAACTAGTTATGACGACACGATTTGGGCTGGCACCTTGTTCGCTATCGCGTACCGGCAATGATATTCCAAAGAGAAGTGCTTGAAGATGGATGAATGCAACGGTGTCCGCGAACACATTTGTAGAATTATTGTGCTTGCAAACGGTATTCCTTTATTTCGAGGTAATTCAAATCGAAAATGGAAGAAAAATCGGACAATTCAGAAATTTGTATTTTTAAAACGATGACTTAACCCTCCACTCTGTTGAAATCGTTACAATCTTATTTCATCGTCGAATCTTGAAAATAAAGCGTAGTCGTGTACGATATATTCGCTCGATGAGCACGAGAACATAATAAGATTAATTACCGTTGTCAATGAGCAATGACGTCATCGACACTGCTCCACTGTCCTCGCCGTCTTTGGTATGGCAAAACGTGTAGGTCAGTCAGATAGGCCCACTCGTCTGCGACGCCCATTATGGAACTTCTACCGTATATTATTGACTCACGCGTGCACATGAAGTCGCATGCGTTATTACTGAAAGCTTGTCAAAATAAAATTTGTTCAAATTTTACTTCTTATCGAATATAAGAAGAAATAGAATATATCTTCGTGACCTGTTCCAAATGGGTTAACGTTATTTTTCTACGTCTTGGCAGCATTACACTGTTACGCGACTAGCTAGACTAAAAGTCGTCCATTTAGAGAGACAGCCAACAAAGAAACATTCTACACCCTTTTGCCATTGATTCACGAGGATCGCAGCCCCGAAAATGGCCTTTATTAACAGAGCTACCCTCTGCACCCTTCGGCACCCTTTTGATTCCCGAACCTTCGGCACAGGCGCGTACTCGACACATGACGTAGTTGGGGAAAGTATTGTCAAGGGTAGCCTCGTGCGCGAAATGCGGGTCAGTGGAGCACGGACGTCGCGACGCCAAGCGTCGACGTCGCGTCGTTACTTACCCGCTCGGCCTCTCGGAATGTTCTTCGCTTGGGAAATCTTTTAAAGCATACAAAGTGACTAACTTTAGTGAAATATTTTTTTTCGAGAAAATTAAGACTCGAAGACTATTTTTTTTTATGTACTCATGGGATACTTAATTACGAGAAAATGGCTCTGATCAGATGTTGCCTGGAGGCGGAAGTACCTGACGTCTTCAAATCTTTACGGAAGTGCGCTGACCCTGGCTGTGAGTACTCGTTCTATTCTTAGAAGAAATTATTATTCTTTGTATTATTTTTCTTTCGAGTCACCATCGTGCCATTTAACATTGTGCGATACTTCATCTTTTCAAAGGGCAAGGGTCTTAATTAATGAAGCTCGGAAAAGAGGATGCAGTTTACGCCTAAAAGTCACGAACTGGTAGCTTCATAATTTTCTTATCGAAATTAATAAATTAAAATGTTGTAATATAAGTTAATCTTTTAATTATATTATCTGATTATAATATCTGATACACAAAGAAAAAAAAATTAAAGATAAAACAATTGTTTTATCGTATATCGGTTAGAGTACAAAATTTTTGCATGATATTCAGGTAGCATTTTTCTACTTCATACAATATATATATTGATCTAAAAGCTTTTTTATCGTTTTTCTATAAACACACAGGGAACTGATTAAAGCTGATATACACGTGCTTCTACGCTCTTCTTATCACCACTTGCAACAGTTGCTACGTGTCTTCGGAGTTTGGCACATTTATTAGAGGTCTTTATTTCGCGTGTAATTTATATGCACGTGTATAAATATATTAAACGTATTCATGGTTCAATTGATGTGTCTTCAAATATTCGAGTACCTGTGTAAGTTTTCACGTGTACCTACCCCTACTCTAATTCGTATCTTTTTCGATACATGGACATCAGAGTTTTATAAAAATATTCTTTTACTACTACATTTAATATAGTGAACGATGATAAATCTTCTTCCATGTTCATACGTGCTAACATGCCATTATTATTGATTTCCGAAGACCTGTGTCAATATCCGGCATGTCTTGTCTTCCTGAGCTACTTCAACCGACAAGAATTCTCGCATTTCACCGCAAAGAGATTACATTTCGTTTTATTCGCGTTTAAAATAGAAATTAAATAAGTTGTGGAAACGCAATTCCTTTGATAAACATTTCCAGAGGCAGGGGGTGCGATAATCCTCCCCCAAGTATAATAGGACTTTAACAAAATTAATTCATATTGTAAAATAAGATTTCTTTCGGTAGCATCTTAAAATACTTTCTATATTTGTTTTTTTTTTATTAAAATAAATTACTTGAGAAACTTTCAAATCATTTTTTTTAGGAGAAAATGATTTTTTAAAGAGATTTCTTCTCGAGAAAGGGAAAGTTAGCCGTGCTGCCATCTGATACTTGTTCCCTACACTCTGAGTATAAGTTTCATGAATTGGTACAAAAGAAAATGGTATTATCAACAGTGGTTTTTATAATCTAAAATCTCTGCCTTTTGAAAAGAGAAATTTATTTATCATGGAACGTAAACTATTGGTTTATTTGCAATTTAGTTTATTTAATTGTTAATATTTCCTCAACGCTCTGTAGATAAATCAAAATTGTACAGAGCTTTTTGGAGTTACCACTTGTCCGTGTAGGTGCTTAAAATTTCACTCTCGTGATAACCTTAGGCGATCGAAGTTTGTTCTGTGCAGTGGTTGCTCGGTTTTAACGAAATGCTTGGTAAATATTAATGATTTTGTCATATACACTTTATCCCATAAATGATTCTTGGTGCTTAAGTTTTATTATTGTTCACGAATAAATTTATACATTTTAGAAATATCTATTTTCCTTCTATAATGTTTCCTTGATATTTTTCTTAGGCTGTTGCTGGTGCTGTTCTGCATTACGCCCACGATATAAAAGACTTGTCGACAATATCTTCCCAGTCAACCCTCAGGTGAGCTTTACATTTTTTAAACTACCAATTCCCTATGATTTTTTTTCTACATTGTTTAGTTAAAGTTCCTGTATGTTGCAGTTTTATTCTATAATTATCTCTTATGTCATATGTATAGTAGTTAGTATTAATGATAGTGATAACTCTAAATAGTGTATTGTGACAATTAAATGTAATTGTATGATCACAAATATTAATTAAAATACCAAGAGATTTATGTTGTATGCCCTTTTATTAAAATTAGTTTTAAGTTTTTGCTTATACCAATTCTTACAGCGCTCCATAATCAATTACATGTAAGCTTATATTGATTTTCAGTACTGAAGCTAATGCTAAATGTTTCACATCAATGTATTAATATATAATTATTAAGATTCATCATGTAATGCAGATTATATTATCAAATCCCAAATTATAAAACTGTGTGTAATATTAAACATTATCAAGAATTTTAATTATGGATATATTGGAGGGATTAAATGAAAACTGTGTATGATATAATTGATTGTAAATACATGTGAAAGATATTAGGATTAACTTATGAATTCATATGTATGGTTTCAGAGTATTTTTTTTATACCGCATAGGTTTTCTTATAGTATTAGAGAATTAAACATGCCAAGTTTCAAATATTAACTGTACTCTGTAATAAAATAAATTGGTACCGATATTTCTGATGATATAAATTTGTATTTCTATAATTAGGATGGCTTGGTCAAAAATAATATGGAAAAATTGACCTTTTATTCCTTAAGCAGTCCTGAAAAACTAGACAGAATTGGGGAATATTTGTTTCAAAGGGCTTCCAGGGACATTTACAGGTATAATATAAACAAGGCTAATGATAGATAATTACACACAATTAATCTAACAACTGTGGAACATGCACACTCATGTGATTGATGCAAACTTTTGTTTATGTCTGTTTTATGTCAATCATATGAGTAATTACTTGTTGTTTTTAAGATATGCTAAGTATTTTTGTATATGAGCATGAAACTTAAGGAAAATGTATTTCCATTGATAGGAGAAGAAATGGATTTGTTGTTATTGCTATGGAAGCAATGGATCAACTTTTAGTAGCATGCCACGCACAGACATTGAATTTATTTGTTGAAAGTTTTTTAAAAATGGTACAGAAGCTGTTAGAATCAACGGATCCCCAGCTACAAATATTGGCAACTCAGTCTGTAAGTTTCAATAAATAATGCCATACATTACATCATGTTATTGGATTTTAAATAAATTATTATATTGTGATTGTTTTATACAGTATATTATTTTATTTCTCATTGACATGAAAAGTAATGGTATTTTTGACATCTTTCGATTCAGTTGAACAAAGTCCTGGCTTCTTCCAGTTTGTCCGATTTGCCAACATCGAGCAGGATACGCCGTCTTATCACACACGTTACGATTTCTTTGTATCAAAATACTCTGCGATGTGCCACTCCAATAACAATGACCCTGCAATCTGCAAACAAATCCGGCTTGCTGGAATTCAGGGATTACAAGTATGATTTTTCTTCATATACTTATGTAACATAAATAATGATTTAACAGATGTTCCTGTTACAAATTAAAACGGTTTTATTAAATACAAGTTTTAATGTAGGGTGTCGTAAGAAAAACGCTTTCCGACGATTTGGTAGAAAATATTTGGGAACCTGTTCACATGGATAAGATCGTTCCGTCGTTGTTATATAACATGCAAAATTCAAGGTAATATAAATAAACAGCTTGGTAGGTGTACGTGTTCATTATTGGAATTATCATGTACATATTGATAATTATGATCTACTAGATATTCGAATAAAGAAGATGCAACACCAGACAGTCCAACAGAAGAAAGAACTGATCCACCACAGTTTGCCGAAACTTGTATGCGTGAACTTGTTGGACGAGCATCGTTTGGTCACATTAGATGTGTTATTAGACCAGTTCTAAGGTTGATAATATAATATGTTTGATTTTTAATTAATATACAGCTTTCTTTTTTATTTCAATAAAATATATGCAGGCTGTTTCGATGCAAGTATTGACAATTACATTATTCGTAGGCATTTAGATAATCACCAATTATGGGTTCCTAATTATTTTGCGATCCACACGTTTAGGATAATTATGTTTTCTATTCAGGTAAGTAAAAGTACGATAAATTACAACTTTCATGTTACAGAATAACAGATTGATTTCTTTTTAGTCCCAATATTCTTATACGGTTGTAGAAGCGCTGATGATTCATCTCGATGATCATTCAAAATCATCCCCAAAGATTCGGACGAGTATCGCGGATACATTATCTAAAATTATTTCAATAGCAGCCGGCGAAAGTGTCGGTAAGTTTAATAAAATAAAGGGAAAAACGTTGGTCAAAAGGATAAGTTAATTAAATTAATTTCTGTTGTAAGGTCCGTCTGTGTTGGAGATAATAAATTCTTTACTATCCCATCTTCGAGTTAGCGTAACAAGAAATCAGTCGTCTAGTAATGACGAACAGTTATATCAGGAAGCACTTATTAATGCCCTTGGAGAATTCGCAAATCATCTTCCGGATTATCAGAAAATTGAAATTATGATGTTTATTATGAGTAAAGTCCCCTACAGTCAACCGGATCGTATTGTTTCGGTTGGGAAGGGAGATGTATTACTTCAAAGTATCCTTCTAAAATCTCTATTAAAGGTAGATTGTGTATTATTTACTTTAATAATCCTGTTAAAATAAATTTCTTTACCGTAATATAATTGTGTTCAGGTCGGTACAAAATATCAGACTATACATCTGAATACAACATTTCCACCAAGTTTTCTGGAACCGCTGTTAAGGATGTCGTTAGCAGCGGATGCTGAAATGCGACTTTTAGTACAAAAAATCTTTCATACTTTGATCGACAGGCATCAGAATATTACAAAACTTGCCAAACCTACGTAAGTCTTTAATAATACACTTTTTTTTTCCAGATTATTTTGATGATCTGAAATATATATTTATCATATTTTTTAAACAGAGTAAATGTTGCGCAACTTGATTTGACAATCGAAAAAGCATCACGACCAGATGTTATCTTTATTCGTAAACATGGCCCTGAAATTTATTTAGCGTTATATGAATCACTAGAAATGGCAAGCAACAAAGTTGAAAACGTGGAGTCCATATATACAACGTTGGCATTGCTCGCCGTGGAATTGGCTTCGGAGGAAACAGTATTAGAGCTGCTAAGATTAGTACTCAGTCTTCAAGATTTAGCTTTAACGAGTGGCCAAATCAGTATTTCGCTGAAATTTAACTTGCACGGCATTGTAATCAGTTTGCTGGTACTAATATCATACGTTTGTAATATTACTTCGCTCATGGATTATGCAAACAAAGTGAGATACAATTCAACTGATTTGTTAATCATTTATAACAGTACACTCTAAGCTGTTTAATCTTTATATTTCAAGATTGTAGAAATACGACGAAAGGAAGCACCGCATCTTTTACCTGATTTGCACTCTCAGTATGACACTGGTTTATCTACTAGATTAACCCCGGCTTTATTAGTTGATCAAACTGTTTTAAGCGAATGCTTGAAAGGAGCTGGTCTCGACAGTGGAAAATTGCAACATGGATCTGGTTATAGTACGGTTTCGCTACAACATCGGTAATATTATGAAAAATTCTTCAAATATTATTTCCTTTATAATACCGCTTAATTTTAATCATGTAAAATGTGTCAGACATTCATGGGTTGATAGTGCTGGACGAAACTCGTTAGCTGATATTAATTCCGGTGCCACGGAATTGGACAGCGGCGGATCATCTCCTGGCGTTCAGAAGGTATGTTGCATTTCGAATTTTTCAATCGTTTATTAACCATTTTTGTATTTTTCTTTCACAGAAATTACAAGGCGAAGAATTGACTTTCGAAAGTATGAAGAGAATTCTGACGGAAAATAATAACAATCACATAATAGCGGAAGAAAAACGGATACAATTATCGCACCTCTTTAGAAACGCACCATTCCAAGACTTGGTATCAAAGACACAACCAAAGGTACGATAATATATATCGGTTATCACATAGATGTAGCTAATAATAAATGATTTTCTAGCATGACGTTTTACAAAGTAAACTGTCAGAAATATTCAATACATTGTCTGTCGATCCACGAAATGCAACTCAAGGAGGACCACCGACAGATACCAAGCCAAATCAAGCGCCGGCTTACGAAATACATTTTCCCGAATTATTTGTCTATTAAAGCTTATTTGTGTAGCTGCTGCTGTGGATTAACTCTACTGTGTTGAACGATTAACTACGATTGTCGTGTGACACCTATAATTAACGTAAGTTATTTATCTTTGTTATCTTGAAACTATGTAAAAAAATATTTTTACATAGACCCACTTTGTTAATTTCAATATTTATGTGAAATATTTGATCGCGCGTGTTCATTTTTTTATGTTTCTGATATGATATTTATTACTATGTTGATTTCAGTCATATATACTATTTCAATGTCGGTAAGTTTATTGTATATTATATTTGTAAATATACATTGATTAAATTTAAAAAATAATTATTTAATTATTTGGGATATTTAACGTTGTACAGTTAGTATTGCATTTTCTTCTATGCAACTTGCACAAAATGATAATGTTTGTGTTGATGTCTTGCTACTGTATAATTGTTCGTGTTGGAATTGAAGTTTGTTTAAAATAAACTTCCCTAAAAATTTCAATATCTTCCAATATTATGTCCCATTTTGAACAGAATGCTAGATATCGAGGGGAAAAAGGTAATTGATTTGGCGTGGAATAATTCTACTTCGTTTTGTCCGAAGAGATTTTAAGATTTTTATTAGTAACATTTTATTTGTTCTGTTATTTTATACACAGATGTAAATATGTTAATAAATAAGAATAATCATACGTATCGATGTAATCCTAATGAATTGCTTCAATTATATGCTCTTCAGTTTAATCTTATTCTTCTGTTGAATATGTCGAGAGTTATTGTTACAGAAGGAAATCTGTCTCCTCCAGTGTGTTTCTATAGATTATATAACAATAGATAGGAACATTATACTTTAGTATAAAATAGATACACATAAAACGAGATACGTACATCTCTTTAAAGTGTAATTTTTCTGCTGTTAATGCAAGTTTACGAATGTTTCGAATTGTAGATGCAGCAGCAATTTGCACTTCCGGATCATCTGATCCTACCAACCGCAGTACATGCTGCAACAATTTTTAATACACTCTCGATATTAAGAGATATTAAACAACTGTTGAGTAGAATTCGGATTATTATACCTTTATGATCCCAGAGGAGTGCATGGTGATGCAGTTTGTAGGATTTTTGCTTAAATGATAGGCAGCTATACAAACTCCCCTAAGAACGTTTTTATTTTTACTGGTCATGTAAGTAATAAGTGGTGCGACTGCATTCAGATCGCCAAATTTATAACTGTTTTCACCCCATTCGCTACAGTGAGCTATTGCTAAAGTCAAATTAGCACGCAGATTTTCATCTTCCTATGGAAATATAAAACATTTCATCAGATACACGAGTGATTGGTAGAATTATTTCGAATTTTAGCAACAATTACCGTTCCTACTAATTTCGACAATTCCTCCACAACACCGTGATCACTGAGAATACCAAGATTTTCTGGATCTGTGGCGATCTCAGCAATGGTGGCACATACCGCGCTCAGCACTGCGGTGTCTGTGCTCTGAAGAAGGCTAACAGTTAATTCCAATCCACCCACGAATGCCCGTACCATTTCCGGGGAATCTTTTGCGTATTTGATACAAGGTACCAAAGCGAGGCAAGCATTTCTTTTAATCACATCACTGGGATGTTTCAGTAAGGACCAGACTAAACGTACACCGTCCAGGATGTGTTCAGGGTCGTTAATAATGTCCATACATTCCTCGTTTTGAGCGCACTCTTTGATCACCAGGGGTATGTTCTCCAATAGAGGTTCGTACGTTGAACTTAATAATTTTATCTGAGTAAATTGTAATTATATAAAGATTGCAATTGTAATGAAAATTCTCTGGAAATGGAATAGCGATAAATTGCATAATTACCAACTTTGGTAAACCTTCATTGACTCTTAAAATATTTCTGTTAGCTGGATCTTTGCAACATTCAGCTAGGGCTCCTACTACATGAGCCAGTACGTCCTCGTCTTCGTGCTCTTCTAAAAATGGCACCAATAATGCCACCAGACCATTCTGATTGAATCTTATTATATTTTCTGCGCTTATAGCGCATTTCCAAATTCCACCCGTGACGGCAGCTAGCAGATGCTTGTTAGCGCAAACACTTTTGTCCTGTATAAGCTTGCACAGCATATCTAGACCAGATGCTTCTCGAACTATGTCCCTTGCTACTTTGTTCGTACCGCAATTGAATATAGCCAATGCGCAATTTTCCTTTAATTTAACATCGTCCGTCTTCTTCAAATGCCTTACCACACTGGGCATGATGTCCGTCTGTTCGAAGGCTTTCTGAAATACGTTCTGTAAACGTGCAAATAAATTGCAGATTTATAATTATTATAAAATAATTGATTAGGTAATAAACTATTAAGTTATAGTTTCGGTACCGAGCTCGAGAAAGAGATAATCAGTTGGGTAAGTTTAATATATTTAAGTATTTTACATACCAAGATTGCACACTGTTGAACAGTACCCATCATGGGTATTATCAGAGATGTGCACGTAGATTTCAAGAAACGTTCCATAAGCTTCACCACTCCGTATTTGTAAAGCTCCTCCTTCACTTTCGGGCTACTGCTCACAGAATCCAAAACCTTGGCACAACCAATTGCAACTGCGACTAACTCCTGATTGGTTTCGTTTAAGTCGTCGAAAGGACGTTTTAGAATATTGTCTGGAACGTCCATTACATCCAGCTGTTCGAATTTTTATAGATGGAATAGATTAAACTAGACTTGGACTCTTCTTTTGATCTTTAGTTTTTAGAAAAATACTCACGATGAGAGGTATACCACCTCGTATACGTATTTGCTTTCTCGCTTTTCTGATTTTAGCGATGATAGCCATGGTCTCGGTAGCCAAAACCTTCGTACCAATAAAAGGACGGTCAAATGAATGAATTTAATTTTTTCTTTAAAGAAACAGATGCTAATTAACCTGAATATTTCTAGCTGGATGCCTCAACATTTCAATCAACGGTGTTACGATTCCAAGATCAATCAGGTATCGTCGCATATCCGTGGAAGATGCAATCCGAAGTAAAACTGTCAGAGAACCATTCTGACATTTTAAATCTTTCGTTTCGAGCAGGTTCACTAAGATTTCTAGGCCTCCCATTCCTTGAATCGCTTTTTGTATAATCTGTTACTTAGAAAATCGATGTACTTTTCATTATCAATGATTCTGATTAAGCTATAGAGAAAAAAAATATGAAAAGAATAAAATTACCTTGCTCTGAAGGTCGTAATCCTTCAGAAGGCAAAGAGCCACCATGGTCGCTGTTTGATTTCCGGCCTTCATGTACCTAATAAGCTTCTGTATGTGCCAAAATTCTGAAGGCACTTGCGGTACATCATCGTGTTTAAGTTCATCGTCGCTTTCAGATTCAGGCTCGTCGTCAGAACTTTCTTCTTCTTTCTTTTCGCTGATGCAACAAACCCGGGGACCGTATGGTTCCCCTGTTACCACTGATATCAGAGGCTTCGGTGGCTCTTCTGGTTCCAACACCTCAGGAATATCTGGTTCTATCCTTTTTACATTGGAATCGAGTTGGAGATTATCAAACAGCTTAACGAAGGATTTGAGAAATTCTTTGAAATTCAAAGTGAATTTCTTTAAACATCTATCTTAGCTTCAAGAATGTCTCGTTATTTGAAACTTACGTTGGTAATTGCTCTATAGATATCTGCTTAACTTCCTTCTTTCGTTTTTTAGGCGGCATAGTTTTCTTTGAACTTGAACTTTATTTTCTTCAGACAAAAACCTGTGATATTATTTAACCTCCTCGTCGAATATAAAGATATCGACCAAACAGTCGTTTAGAATACGGGACTTAAATGGCAACTACATTATCAGTTAAAAGAGTTTATTGTCACTGACTTGTTTAGAAGGATGATTTACTGAATACATTGTTACATATTTTTTTTCAAGAAAAAAATCATACGAAATATTCTGAATGTAGTTACATTTTGGTAAATGATATTTCTATCGAGATTCTCTTTGTTCATCGAACTGATTGACATTTACAAATGTCAGGAAGGACGTACAAACGTTAATAATCCTCGGTTCTAAATTTTTGGTTAGAAATGTACAAAATTTCAGTTGATTTATGAAACCGTGTCGAAATAAAATTCAACAAATAATAGATGAAAAGAGTTATTAATGAAATATGTGCTTATACAATTAAGAGCAGCAAATTCCAATTTTCTTTCATACTGGTAAATCGATATTTAAACGTTAAATTACAATTTGAAAATGTTCGAGAGAAGAATAAATGATATTGATCATTGTAGAACGTGGAACTTAATTCAAAAAGGTGGATGTAAAGAACATGTAAAAGTGATTAGTAAATTTGCTAAAGTCAAATGTTCCGCATACACATATATGCTACTCCATTTTCAGTGGTTTTGCTTTTGATATCCTTATCAGTTTGGCTTTGCATATGTCGCTGGGGATTTCGGTATAACTTGAAAGATCGAGAAGTAATCATTAAAAATATTCAAGCATAATTACAGAACCTGGTCATCGAATTATCTACTTGACATTTTCATTTTCTTAGTAAAATTAAAAGAAAAAAAGAAAAGTATAACACGATGGCTAGGAGTTGTATAATTTAATTAAAATTTTAATGATATTTCGTGGTAATTTTAACTTTTAAGTTTGACTTTACTAATTTTGGTTTCATATCTTAATAATTGCAATTCAGATCCTGTCGTGCTTGATAACGTACTACATCGTTATTACTTTATTGAACATGCTTTTCTTGGGCCACATGCAATTTTATTGCGATTATCCCAAAAGAAATTAAAAATTAGTGGTAAGTACAAATTAATAAATTACTATTTCGGTTCTTGTCTAAAAAATGGATCATACAAATAGCCCGCGCTTTGAAGTAATCGATTTATCTATCGAAACAGTGTTCTGCAGCGTTTGTTTGTAGTTGGACGTCTGTGCGTCTGTGATTATTTAAAGTTTATTAAGAGAATTGTACGCACATTAATTAAAGTACAAGGTATTATAATTCATTCTTTATTTAACATCTTTATTTATTTCGATTAGGAACTTATGAAATTGTTAAATTATTTGTGTTACGCTTTTGAAAAGTATCTAACCTCTAAACATCTTACTGTTTGGTTATGATTAATTTCAACATTGAAATAACTATAATGCAAAACTAATACTGGACACTGTTTCAGATGGGTATGCCAAAACATGCTCAATTTTTGGCTCGTACAGTTATGGTCCAAGACAATAATATTGAAAAAGCAGCTCGTTTATTGAATTCCATACTATCGAGAGAAGGAATTTTTACCCAATTTAGACGTACTAGATATTATGAAAAACCTACAGCCACAAGGAGGAGAATAAATTACGAAAAATGTAAAGCTATTTATCACGAAGACATGGAAAGAAAAATTCAATTTATTTTAAGAAAAAACAGAGTTGATCCGTATCCTGGTTGCTCATAAATTAAATTTACGATGTATTTAAACATACGTACACATAAATGTTTGTAATTAGTGTTGTATGTTAAAATATATGCGTTTCAGATACTAATGCAAGCTAGGAAAAATAAGGTACCTATCACACTTTGTAGTTTTCATGTTATTTATTAAATTCTTTTATTTTTATCGTTATTAAACCAACGTTAAAGCTGCGGAAACCTACAATATTCGGTAGCGTACATATACATTTTCATGTGTTGATAGAACAATAAGTGCATTCACATTTTGTGATCTGTTCTGTGTCGATTTGAGTACATAAATGTTAATGGCCGGCGGCAACTTTCTAAAATATGTTTTGTGAGGATCCAACCAGTAATTAATTAATTATAATAAATTTAAGATCCATTGCTCGATCCCAGTTTATCTGAGCTGGGGAACTTTCATAGTTTTCTGCTTTCCGGTGATCAATTTCCGTATTTCAACGATTAAATAATAAAGAATATCATCTCAGCTTTGTAATTAATTAATTACTAGCAATTTTTAGAGTGATCGTTCCTGTAAATTTGACCCGTTGATAAAACCTTATGTCCTTACAAAACCTGTATGTAAAAGTTGTTGCGGGATAAAAGTTCATTAATTGTTCGTCAAAAAGAAGTTTTTTGACTGTTACCCTTTCGTCAGTAAGTTGGCGAGGAACTTCCGCTGCTTTCCGACAGGTAGCGCTAGTATTCCCTCGTTTAAAAAAATTGATCGATAAATTGTTGAGTAGCTTGAGTATAGATGGCACTTAGATCGAATTTTAAAAAATTTAATTTATGGCAATTTTTCTAGAATACAAGTTTATCAAACAGTTATTTTAATAATTTCTTAGTCTTGTGCTGATTTTAAATTTCTAAAAAAATAGATTTAAAGGGAATAAAAACTGTGTCTTTTCAGTTGTGATTGCGAGGTATGGTAAAAGAGGGACTGATAAAAACTTCACGACTATCATACCACCTACGTTCTGTGCATGCAGACTGATCCTCATCTCTCCCTTTTCCAATCTTCAAAATTAAGGTAAGCAAATAATAAAGTAAACTTTAATTAAGAAATAAGAAAAGCATGCGGCTCACTAATCGTTGACTTGTACTACTGCGCTGGCAACGTATCTGGAAAACTGACTCGCGATTAATCACTTGCAAATCTCGTAAAATAAAAATTAGACACCTGGTATTTTAGTTTGCCAAATTTTCAAAAAAGTCTTCAAAAATTAGACAAAAAGAAAAATTGAAAAGGGAAAGAAATATTGATGTCTTGTAATGTAGAAATTGTACGCAATTAGAATCTGACATATTTACTGGGATATTCACCTGCGTTTTATGTTTATTGATAAATTGCCAAAATACACTCCCACGGGTTGTTATTCAATCAAATTTGAGAATAAACCCGGAAGAATAATTTAATTACGCCTATCAACTTGAAGAAGTATTTACGTATACCGTTTGTTAAGGCCAAGGTCTACATTTAGAATACATATAAAAGCGTGAACGCATTTGCGATTCAACTCTCTGGTTATATTTCCATTTGAAAGCAGAGTTTACGAAATAGAAAATAAGATGGTAGTACAAAATTCTAACGATAGCATTAAGGAAGTAAAAATCTGTAAGCACACTGATTTCACTGTCGACATTTCATCGCGATTATTTTCCTCTTTTTCCATCCTGCTGGAACACTTGGCACCATTTTCCATTCGTCTCTGCTATCTATTCAATTTTCGCCAAGTTAGCGGACTCGTTGCCAAGAAAACCGACGAAACGTTTTGTGTTTTCCCGGGCTTCAACGTTGAAAGTGGAAAGCTAGGAGAGTAAACGCAGAATTGCGGAAAAATAATTTAGTAATATCCCTTTTATACTGTGACGGAGAAAAATGTCGAAAAAGAAGCTACCTAAAAATACTAACGAAAACTTTCGTTATGAAAGATGAAGTTTGTGAAACGTTTATTTACGGCGCAGCGTCCGTTCTCCTTTTCTACGCGAACCAAATTGTCAAGATGTATAACAATGACACTAAGCGATAATTTGCAAGTCCGAAACGAAGTTGCGAAAGCCATGCGAGTCACGAATTTCAGTTTACAATTATGATGGATAGGAGAGAAGCAAACAAACTGGGCGACGTAGAGGAAACGAAGGAACGAAATAGATAACGTCCCTGGAGAGAGAGAAATCCAGTTCCAGGCAAACTGTCTTGCCGCTGGTTCAAAGATAGTTTCCAGTCGAGATTCCCCGGGAGTTAGGCCAAACCGCGTTTTCAACCCAAACGTCTTCTGTCCTCCAGCGTGGTCGGTTTTGCGCCAATTGAGAAACTTAATCTACAATTACATATTTTCTGTTTACAAGAATATTTTACAACGAATGGAAGAATTCGAAATGGAGATCTATTCATTGTTTATATACATACGATACGTAACTATTTAAAGAGAAAAGATTTTATGACGCGAAACTTGGTTCACGTCCCACGAAAAAGTTTCCCCTGTTTGTGACACTCGAAATGATTTAATGAAGCTGGGGCTGGATATCAAAAAACTTTCAAGACAATATCTCAAGGAGATGTAACCGTGTAGCTCTTTAAAAAAGTTCACAAGTTGGAATTAACTGAAACTTTATGACTGGGTTGGCTTTCTTTGCGTGACGAGCACACTGGCTTGTCTATGAAAAACCTTGGATATAAGCTACCCCTTCTATACGATAATCTTCCACAGAACTTTTCGTTCTGACAATGAACTTACGTTCGAGTGTTATGCAGTCTAAACGGTATGTAAAAACACGGTGATTATGGTAAACTGTGTGTGCGTAAGTAGGATGTTAATAAACACAAGTGGCGTGATAATTCAGCATTAACATAATAATTGTGTAAAAAGTAGAGTAAATTAATAACAAGTGAGTTTTATCGTAAAGAGAGTGCACATAGCAATCCTTATCTAAAATACGTAGTTATAGACGCAATATAGATAGACTTTTCTTAGAAATGAAAATTAATAAACAAGGATTTGAATAATATTAGACTTGGTAGGAACAGAGGTTAAGGCCTAAAAAACCTGACATTAACTTTCCTCATTCAAATGATACGATAGGCTTCCTTTGTATGCAGTAAATTCACATTCAGTTTAACACGCTTCTAATCAGAATTCTTTGCAATTGTTTCAATATCTCATTTCATTTCACCAGAGTCACTGCTTTCAGTTTCGATACAATTTTCAACATACAGGGAATTTGAAATATTCTTGTTAATTCGTTCTTTATTAACACAAAACGTTTCGTTAGTGATTTAAAAATCTTCAAATCCATTTGGATAGATTTATCCATACCAGAAAGGTGGTAAATATTGGTACTTTCGTGTTGTTATTACAATAATATTAATTCCTGACAGTTCCATTACAATTATTCAGAGATTAATGACTATTAAACGACATATTCATTGATAAATGATAGTTTACCGCTAATGGTAGTAATATGGTTGCCCAACGGCACGGGTCGAACCGATCACACCATTCAAATCCAATCAACGAAATTATCGTGACGAAACATCGAATCAGATGTGTGTACATAAATACGTCTTTGATATCGCGGTTTTGCGTCAGCGGTCACCTGATAATGTCTGCATCGCGATTCGTGCATATTTAATGATTACGCGTTCACCGTGCCCGCGTCACGAAAAAAACCAAGGTTTCCGAATGATACATATGGTCTAGATGATAGCGTGAATAAGATGTTGCGTCTGCAATGTAATCAGTTCGTTGTAATCAGACTCTTGTGTCAGGAGGCTGAGTCAGGATAGGAAAAAAATATTCTGAGAATCAAAAATGTATACTTTTTCCTTTATTACTGCAATAATTTCCAAATATAATATTTCTTTTCATTTTTATTATAGGCACCTTTCTTTTAGACAATTGAAACGGTAATAATAAAAGTTCTGTTACGAGGTTTCCCGTTTAATTAACAATCGACCATTGTTGAAATTTGATGCATTTCAAAATGTTTCTTTACATAGTACACAATAGCTCTCACACCGACCGTGAAACTAACAAATAACTTGGCTGACGTCAACCATAATGGCACGTGAAATTCTATATCCAGGGAAATTACCGAACCCGCGTATTTGCAATTTATATTTATTTACCGTGTAATTGATTTTGACTTGTGGAAATAAAATTCGGCGGTTTCGATCGGTTTCACGTATCCAATCTTTTTGTCGGGGTTAAGAACATCCTTCGAAACCGATTCTTCATTTCTTATCGCGTTCCATTTGCCAAGCAATTGTGCAATATCCTTCGTAATTAAATTCCTAGATATTTACACGGTGAAATCCGCGATATAATTCTCCTCCAGAAATGATATTTTCATACGGCCCCAGAGGTAATCGAAGACGTGTAAAACTGTATGTACAGAAAATCAGATGCAATTATCCAAAGGTTTGCCCCGAATCCATTACCGGCTGTTTACATTTCACTTAGGCAAAGTACATCTTCAAGTATTCAGCAGGATGAAATGTTGAGAAAACTGGGTTACATCTCGTCGTACAAGAAACTTTATTCCTTTAATTTTTTTTTCTTATACGTCGTCCTTTTTCACTGTGAAAGACTTGTCGAAGATCTGATAGGAGAAAAGAATGATTATCTGTCAAAAAGACAAACCGTGATGATGAGTCAGGGAGAGAAAATAAATGATGAAAATGGAATGATAGAGCGAGTCATTTATATGAAATTCCACAAAATAGGACAAATTGGTTACTTGTTATTTCGATATTCTTCAGATATTTTTACGTGTTACTGTAAGGAACGTATTATGTATCGTGTATTTTTCCTTGAAAATATAGTACGACTTTTAGAAATAGGTCATTCTGCAAAAGAGAGGAAGTGACACAAATAAGTAAAGATTCAAAGGGTTGAGAGGCGCCATGGCGTCGCCGACAAGACGGCGATTTCGAATGACGTGCATCGATAATGCCGTTCAAACATCGCAGTCTAAAATAGGTCGAAGCGACGATGAGGAAAGATTGTTTCGACTTTCTCTTCATTAAAATTTGAAACAATTTGCAATCAACCCCCTTGTTCCTTTTTATCATTTTCGTGTTGTTCTATTTTCGTTCTATCGTTTCGTTCAAAGTATTAGATACACTCCTTTGAATTTTCACCGCCTCGTTGTACGAATCTATCTACTATTGTATTTCCCTGTATACGTACCATACGAATTCTCATTAAACGTTAATTTCTCGAAAATGAGGTGAAATGGATGTAAATCGTTCTTGTTCCATAGCAGTTGTGCATTGCAGTATCAAACAAAAAACATTTCCATGTCAATGTTTAACGAATGCTTGGCTGTCGAAAAACATGTCCATCAAGAGCGTAATATAAAATTAGTTTTGTTAAATTAATTTATTCCGGGGTCGTCAAATATTTGCTAGTTGCGCGAAACCATTTTGTTCGTTGTTTCGTTTTAATTCGCCCTTTTTACAATGTGTATCGATTTCGATTGACACACCCAAACAATCAAGTAATTACCTCGCCATTTTCAGCCTTTCATGTGCTGATTTCTGATTTTAATACCGCATGGCAATACATGGTCCGATGATCGAACAGTAAATTCCTGTTTGACATGGAGCTTTAATTTATTTATTTTTAATTAATACGAGAATCACTTGAAAACAGAAGAATAGAATACCTTTAGCAATTTTTATTTTACTCCAAAGAAATTAGCTTACAGATTTATTTAAACGTAAAATCAATATTTTCAATATATTCTTATGAATACTACATATGTGTACCGTTGAAGTTGTTTGAACAGTGACCGTTTTAAAATAATCTCGAATTCACGTCACATGTTTTTCTATGTCAAATTAGAAACATAAATATGGCTCAACTAAGAAAAGTGCCGAAGAAAAGTTGATTTATGCCATTCAGCAATAGCTAAATCTTTCAGATGTAAATTCAAATGACGTTTCACGTGAAAAAAAAAAAATACTTGTGTCTGGTATAACGAGATAACAACGAACTAGTAGCGTCAGGAACAAACAATATTTTACGTAAATGATTTGTTGCCTGGGTAGAGCGATGAATGTTATTCGTAAGTTCATTCCCTTCGCGACGTAAAGGATAATGGTAGAGAATGGGTAACTTTTCAAGCAAACCATGCACGTCCAGAACGTGATGGAAAAGTTTTGATGGATGCGTTCGTATCGAAGGCTGCAAAACGAATGTCCTTTTCACCGCATCGTTTCTCATTTCAAGGGATGTGTAGAACGGAAAATTAGAGAGTCCGGAACACAGAAAAAGTGGAAAATGTTTCCGCTCAAAATAACAGAAATATTAGTTTTACAAGATTAGGTGGTAGATCCTGGAAAAATTAAAATTCCCGACACACGCGTATTGTAAATTCTAATTAAACATGTTTAGTGATTACTGCAAGTGCCACTAATAGTATAATGTGCTTCTTTTAGAGAATTCACTTTTTTAAACAGTTACTGATTACCTAGTACATTAATGAATATTTATATAATTTATATAACAGGCAACATTTTGCACTCGAATAAGTAAAAAATTGATCGTTTATCATAGATATCTTAACACTGCTTAATTAAGATAAATTGACTCATTAATTTTTTCATTATGAGACGTAGGGAAGGGATATTAAAGAAACAAATTACGTACATAAAACACATTTTTTATTACAAAAAATTAACACTGAAGGTGTACATATTACAACTTGTCAATTCATTGATATCGTCGGTTGCTAAGTTACTTTGCAAATGATTACTTGCAAAGTGGAAAATTGACTTTCATTAAACGAAAGCAATTTGTCAAAGGGGCATTCTTTTGAATCGCATATACTTTATTATCTTTTATTGTCAAAGAAACAATTAATTCTGGATACACGAATTTCTGTTACATCGCGAAATGCATAAATTAAAGAAAAACATGTCTGTTCGACATGAACATCGATATGGATCATCCACCTTATATACCTTATCTGAGATCTTTTTTTTTTCTTTTCATTACAAGCAGATTTATGGCTATCTTTTAGTATTCGTTCAAGTCATCTCCTTTAAAAAAGAAAATTACATTCCTCAGTTCCTACTATTGGATATTTTTCTGGTGCTCTCTCGAATTTTGAACTTCATATATTTCTCGCAGATAAAGCGTCCGCCTTTTTTCGTGGACGGGACAAAATTCGCGTACGATCGTAAAACTTTACGAGTTTCGCTTTTGGGTCGATCCACGCCAGCTTTCTGATGCGAAAGCCTCGTCGTTTTCAGCACACCGCGTTTACATTTATTTATTTTATTCTTTTTTCGTCTGACCTACAGGTGCTCGCAACGATGGTACATTGTTATTATTACTTTTGGTCGAATTGTATGAATTTCGCGCAGTTCTGTTGTTTGATTCAAATTCTATCTTTTATTTGAGCTCTTGTAAAAACACAAGAGGAACTTGAACCTTTATTTTTTATCGTATTCACTAGAGAGTACTTGGAAAACCTTTGAAAAAAAAAAAGTAATTTGAATGAAAGTAAATCATTAAATGCACCGAAGGAGTCAGACAAAGGTGTAACACGAAACCTAAACAACATCTTTGTGTAATAGTAATAAAACAGCGAGGAATAAATTTTTTCTTCTTATTCAGATTTTTCTTTTTATTTCTTTTTCTGCGTGACTGCGTATTGCGGATCTAAAAAAAAGACGATAATCGATAAATAATCTGTAAATAATGAATAAATTTATGTTGCGATTTGCTTGAATTATTTCCTGAAATTATTCTGTTCCCTTGCGGACAGAATTCTCAATTAAGCCCCGCCTCGGCCACCGGTTTGATGTAATCAAATTGGAAATTTGCATGCTCCAAATTCGACGAACTAGAAAAACAGCGAGCGTTGAAGTTGCATAGAAACATGAACGTGACAGCAAAGTGGGCTCATCGTATATTTACGGGAATTTTTATGCTCAATTAAAAGGGCACTGAAATGTAGAATCAGGGAAAAGAAAAATATGTTGTACGGATATCTTTCAAGAAAATATCACCTACGTTTGCTTCTTCGAGGGTAGATAATTAGAAAAATGATTATCCAATTTTAAACAAGTTAGATTAGGAACATTTCAATTTAATTTAATGACAAAAGGAGAAGGTTTTTAAAGAATTTGATAATTAGTCAAAATTTGTAGCTGGTGATTAATCTCTGTCGCTAAATTAGCAAAAATTTCCTCTTTTGTAACATTTTGTACCACATACCGTTGCATACAAGTCACTGCAACGTATTCCCGTTTAGCTGGTAAACATAATCTACTTACAAGGGAAATCCTCTTATCACGTCACTGTTACAACCACTATCTCTGTATCGATTCGAATTACGTATTTGTTACGTACAATTCAGCTGGTTATTCCATCGCGTGTACTTAAAAACATTCTAAACCAGCATCTTTCGTTGTAAAATTCCATTTAGCGTTCGGATAAATAATAAATGAGTCGCCGCAAGTACAATTGCTATGATTGGTAACTGAAATTGACTACCGGGAGTGCAATGAATAACCAATGTAGCATAATATTTGAAAAAGATATTTATTTTAATGAAAATTTACAAATACATAGATGGTACATATACTACACGTGTATACTAATTTAAAGCATCTGCTTAAGTAAATAACAATTCTTGAATATTTAACATAAAATCATATCTTATCAATACATTTCAATGTATGAAATATTGCAATACACGACGTCATTTACTACGAATAAATAATATTTGCTCTTGATTTGTTCATTTACCGTATGCAATATATCAAAATCGAATGCAGTATGAGGTTGTCACAATAGTGCCGCGATCAATTGGTACGGCTTTTAAACGCAATGTGTACATACGACCTCGCTATATTATGGCCGCGATTCAGATCTGAAAAATTTTCCAGGCCTAATGTAATAATTTCACAGCATAAAATATTAACGAAATATTACTCTTGCTTATAATCGAGGGAAACGTAATTAAGGCTCGAATATGACCGATTTTCGTCGACACGACATTCCGTGTGACGTATTGTATCAGTGCGATCAGGAACGGCGTGTTGCGTCACACGAATAACCAGGCGTGTCGGTATTCTGTCTAAATCCGCTAATTACCTGTCACTATTGTCCATTAACAATGAAACCCTGTTCTTAATTAAATTCCATTCGCGAGGCAACAGTAGGTCTTACTGTCGCTGTTCTCCGAAGGCTTTCAATTAATGATCTCGCGCGTTGTACGAACGAAAGCTGTAATGATAGCGGCGCCAGCGGTAGTTCGGCATAAAACAGCGGCTAACAGAGAGAACGTCCGTAGTTATAGCGAAAAAGAAAGAAGTAGGGAGCGTTCCCCACCAGAGACCAGTGGCGTGAGCGATCCGCACAGGCGCACTCGGCGCACGCCTTTAAAGCTTCGTGCCGCCAAAAAGCATTCCCATGAGTCAGTTGTGCTCAACCGGTCGCGAACGGCGGACTATGCGGTGTTGGGTACATTGATTCACTCTCGTACGTTTGCCATACCGAGAAACCGTACGACACGCGTGGTGACGCGGTCTTTGCTTTCTTCTAACGTTTCTTTACAAGGAAACAACACGGTCGTTTAGCAGCGATCAACACAGTGATCGAGAAAAACGGTCCGTTGATTACTAGTGCGCGATACTACTTCGAGTTTTGCATATCGCGACTTTGTCGAAGTGAGCTGAATCTGTGACAGAAACGTCGCTGAAGGTACTCCAGAAATGAGAAAACTTATGGAGAAACAGCTGTCCTGGCTTGCACTCTTGATGACTGCATTCTACTCTTGTAAGTAATTTTTAATGATTTCTCTGTATTAGCTTTCGAATAGAGTCGTTGAACCGAGTGTCCTTAGAGTTTGGATAAGGCACACAGCCGTTATAGAACACTTTTCTGTAAGGTCGTGTGTATGTGGCGCTAGAAGCGACGGCGGCATAATATTCATCGAATCGGAGCGATTTCGCGAGGTTAAGAATCCGTTTAAAGTGCAACAGTTCGAACTAGTAGCCGAGTATTGAAAGCATCGGTAGTGTGTGATCTATCTTTAGCTATTTTCGGTCTATTCTTGGCGCGTTTTGCGACTGTATTCTTGATAGTTAGACATTGGTTCTCGCGGATCAACTGAAATTGTGAAATTGTATATCTGTTTACATCTTCCGTGGCGTCTCGATGACTAACGATTAACTGACCTACACAGCATTCGTCTGTCCTTGATTTCATTCAATCAGCCGCAACTGATGCGCAACATATCAGCCTTATAAACAGTCTAATTTACCAGTTTCAGTAACCACTTCGATTATACAGCTTCGGTGTACATTACGTTGCTCTACGTTGACGAGTGCCCGCAGAAAATTTCCCTTTAAAAACTGTTGTATACAGTAGCTTCATTAAGCACGGACGGAAATGTTTTTGTCTAACGGTTAATTGTTCAATTAGTCGGAATATAACGCACAGTTACTCTCGTTTCATACCATATGTTTTTATGTCCAACTGTAACGGGGTTTTTGTAGCATCCCTGACAATAATATAATTTAAATAAAAAAAAGAAACATTGTTGCGGGCGAAGAAAAAGGATCGCGAAATTCTAGAATGGTCGTTTGAGAACAAGAACGTGTGATCGGTAGATTTTCTTGCAGTGCGATACTAAAATAACACGATACTTACCACGTGGGTGAGTCTCTCCGTTACATCGTACGAGATGACGTCGCGATCGTTGATTGGACGACTGGATGGGCGTGCGCCTGGCCTTACCTTAAGACCAAGTAGTGATAGATTTAATCTTGATCAAACTTTTTGAACAATTTAATTATTTAACTTTTTTTGCTATAAAAACAAATATACATGACAGCATGAATGCATCTTATAGCTCTACGTAAAAATAATCTTAATTTTTTTTTTTTTAACAAAAAACTTTATTTTAGGCAAATAATGTTTATTTTAACATATTTTCTAAATTCTTAGTTAGGTGATGTCACATTAAAACAAATTATTCAAAAACAAGTTTTTCTAGACGAATTTTAATATTTTCTACTTAAAATACATCAATCGTATTTCTTATTTCATACTAGGATCATAAAATTAGTGTCTGAAGGAAAGACACTATTTGAATGAAGTTACGCTAACAGGAAAAGCCGCTCGATAAATTAATTCGTATCGATTAAAGGAAACAATATCTGGTGTTAGTGACCCAATAGGTATTCGCATCGAGTCAATAAAGACACGAGATAAAAATGAATTGTCCGCGGGGTCAACGTAGCAATAACAATAGTAATTTGCTTTAATCGGTCTCAGTTCCATCGCTATATTAGCAATGAGCATAAACACGAAACGAGACACGTCAAGGTTTTCTTCGATCCGCGTAAAGGATGGTTGCATTCAAGCCTCAAAAACATTCTTGCCTTCTTTTTCTTCGTGGCTCGTTCTCTCTCGCGAGGAGAGCCGGTTTCTTGCAATGCATTCCATCGAGTTTGAGTTCTCCACCTTTCGTAACCGACCGTACGTATAGGTATACACGCGAGCAGCCAAGATAGACGGATGTCCGGTCATCAGTCTCTTTCTTCTTCCGCAGATACTTGCTATTCCCGGAATGCGAACTGGGATCACGCGATATTCAAATTCGCCTACTGTATCCTTGAATTCATCATCCATACTGTTAACAACATAATTATGTAATTTATTATGTAAAAAATTGTGCAAATATTTTATTTTCCATTTAACTCGTTCGAAAGGGTTTCATATATGAAAATAATATGTGCCCTCTCCATGGTCCGTCCTCGGCGGAGTTAAGCGATCAGGTACTGAAATTAACCGGATTCTTGAAAATTGTTGAATATGGAATACCATTAAAATATTGAGATATAAGGTCATATTATTAAATTTTTTACAAACAAGGGAAAAAGAACGGAGAAGCGGTATTCGTCTGGTATTTATTACTGGATACTTTGCATAATATAACTAGTTCTACAAGTTCGTTTTCGAATCGTTTAGCACTTAATTAGCGAGATTCTTTTCAAAAAAGATAGCCATTGTGTACGTTACAAAAAGAAGGTTTTCTTAAGAACTTCCTCGCATAATTGCTTCCAGCGGGTGTTCCCTTTACAATAAACTCGAGGAATTATCGAAAATGGAGGCATTGATCTTTTCAGAGCCGGTAAACACAGGATGAAACAAACTAGTCTTCTTAGAAGCTTCTGTTAGTTTTTGAAAGGGACAAAAATCTCTACATTTTCTTCGCTTCTTTTCATTTTGAGAAGCCTTTTCCCATTAGTATAAATGGGCCTCACAGATATGTGCAACGTGGTACTGGCTGTCCTTAGATCCTCCCTTGATCCAACGCTACAACCGAGGAGACGAACAAAAAGCGGTATCGATCCTTTCAGCGGTTCAAATGACCAAATTAGTAATATCTCGGTGGAATAATAATTTGTTCGGAAGAGGAACGAGAGAAAGAAACTGGTATCGAGCAAGGTAGTAGAAGGTTGGCCGCGGGCATAAGTAGTATTCCTTTTTTGGCGAAACGGCGAAAGGATAAGGTAAAGTGGGCAGAATTTAATCACGTTGAGAGGATTCCCAACAAGCTGTTCGTTAGGGGAAGATATTGGGATAGGTCAGTACTTTGGTCGGCTCTTTCGCGTTTCATTCGTCGACTGTACACTCGGCTTTATACCTTAATCTCGACTCTCAGAGTTCGCGCGAGCCATCGAAACTTTTTTCCCTTTAACTATTGTTACAAATAACGATGCAACAAGAATGATGAAACATTCGCTGCTTCATCGCTGATCTCTGTTTCGTTAGAGTAACTTCCTTTTTTATTCTCTCTCTCTCTCTCTTCGTATTTTCTTTATTTATTTATTTGTTCCTTTCTTTTTTTTTTTCTTTCGAGCAATTCGTAATCAATGCCTGCCGAGTAATCCTCGAGCGAATATGGAAAACAATAACCTCGAAACTCTGCGGCATTCGATCATGATTTCGGCGTGCATCGATTGTATTGCTGATTCTGTTCGCGTCTCTATTCTCTTTTTGCTTTTTTTCGACTGAACGGAAAATCAGGCTACGTTTGCTCTGGGTTGCTGCTTTATTGGATTACACGTTCGAAACGACCGAATTCTTACGAATTGAAATATTTATTCGATTCGGTCGAAATTTTACAATTTTACTTGCAAATTTTTTCGATAATAAAGTCTACAAAAATTCGGCCGATATGATATCTGAAACGTCGTCAAGAATAGATACTCAAATTTATAGAGGAAAGATTTTCTCTAGAGAAATAGTATGCGTAATTTAAAAAATGAGAAGGAAAAGGAATTTGAGCCAGCAAAGAGCCAGCTTCACCGTTCGGAGATTTAATATATCATTTAAATGTTCAGTTTGATAGGTAGTTATTATGTAGACGAAGAAAATTTCTCGAAACGTTTGTAAAATCACTGATTTTCGCTTAAAATATACCTGCGATTTATTCCGATGCGTTCCTTTAATAATGCCCGGTGCACGTTTCAGTTTTCATGAAATTCTATCGTTTTAAAATAAATCCGAGCTATTAATTTTGTTCGCGTTTCATCAGTCTCCGATAAGAGTGAAATAATTAAATACAATTTTTAAAGTATCGAATTCAGCGCGAGATTTGATCGATAATAATAATAATAAGTTCCATGGTAAAATGTGTCTCGTACGATTAAGTCTGTACGCAAAGGGATCGTTTTCGGGGGAAAGTCTCATGACCAGGAAAAATTTGGCACGCGAGGAACAGGGGTCGCCTGTTGGCAGGGTCATCCATCTTAAGTACTTCGTCAAGATATCGACGAGAGCCAAAAACAACGAGGAGACTCGTTCAAATGTCGGTCGTTTTACTTATAGATGACAGAAAGTTAGATTTATTATGCAACATTGTGCGCATTGATTGACTATCAATTTGCAACTTTTTCGATGATAAGATGATCAGATATCCTTCTTATCGTATTATCACAATTCTATAAACTCTTTAATGAATCGATTAATTTCCCATCTCGCGCTTGAAACTCCTGATTCGTGCACTGTTTTCATGTTTTAACGAGGAAAATAGGTGGAAACTGTGTCGAAACTATTACGGTGAAATTGATTGGGTAATGAATCGTTGGAAATGCGTTGTTGACTTGGAAACTGATGTCTATAACGCTTTCACATAATCAATGATAACGTGTATTTACAAACATAATTGCTCGCCTGTGAATATCTGAAACGTTTCAGAATTCCTACCGGGATAATTGAATAACGTATAGCGGATGAATTATTTGTCGCGATTAATTTTTCATCACCCCCGTAATGCAATTATTTTTCGGAGCGGTGGGAGTTGATGAAAACGTACGAAAGAACACGCATCGATCGTGATAAATATCGATTTATCGATCTTCATAAATTGTGCTTTTCTATGTTCATGAGAAAAAATAAAAAAAACATTGAAAAAGTAAAATTAATAAAAAGAAGAGAGGGAAAGAATAGTCATGATCATTGCGAATGCTCTCGATTTTAATTAACAGCGGTCTCGTTTTGTACCGGAAACAATGACGATAAAAACAACTTGTCGCTCCATTTTACACAATCGCTGTTTGAGAGCTTAATTTAATGATGCTGATACACTTCTGTGCCCTCGAATGACATTTGATTTTTCACAATTTTTTTTTTTTCCCTCCACCCTCTTGTGAAAACGCAAACGCGTAATGGGCCATTATCTCTCACGGACGGATTGTAATTTGCTCGATGAAAAGGTCATTCCGTATCCGGTCCATGTGCGCGCGTTATCTTCATTATTGTCA